AGGTCTTGAGAGATGGGTCTTAGACATGTGGAGATGTTGGATGCAATGTGCCACCTCTGGTTCTTTGTTCACTCAAATGAGATAGAGTACACAGTGTGTCAGGCCTGGCCTTGCTCACTTCCTGGAGTTTACAGTTTATCAGGGAAGATAGACTCTGAACAAGTTATTTCCTAATTAATTGCTGTATTCTTCTAACATATATTTGGCTACTAAATGTACTCTTGGACAGTGAATAAAATAGCCACTGTGCTCATGAAATGTACATTCTAGTTGGGAGACAGAAAGTACATCAGTGTGTAATCTTGTTGTCAGGTAGGGATAAGTACAGTGACGAAAAATGAAGCAGGGTAAGAGGAAAGAGCAATGACAGCCAGGTGGGGCTGTTTCAGTTAATGTGATCAGGAAAGGCCTCTCTGAGAGAAGGACATTTGGGGTGAGACCTGAACAAAATAAAGAGATCGAGTTTTCCAGATCGAGGGAATAGCAATGCAAGAACTTCAGGATGGAAGGTTTTAGTATTCTAGGAATAACAAGAAGATCTCTAGATTGGAGTGTAATTTGTAAAGGAAAAAGTTATAGAAAATGAGAATGGAACAATAACATGGGCCTGGTTTGACAAGGCCTTGTGGCATGGCGATGGAACGATGTTGGGAAGCCACTGGGAGAATGACATGATCTGATTTATGTTTAAAAGATCACTCTGGGGTGCCTGGGTCTGCCTTCGGCTCAGGTCATGATCCCAGGGTCCTGGGATTGAGTCCCGCATTGGGCTCCCTGCCCCTTGGGGAGCCTGCTTCTCCCTCTGCCTCTCTCTCTTTCTCCGTCTCTCATGAATAAATAGATAAAACCTTTAAAAAAAAAAAAAGATCACTCTAGCTGCTTTGGTCCAAATGGAAATCAGGAGACCGGTTATCTCAGCAAGGAGATAAAGGTTGCTTATGTAGTAATAGTGCAAATGACAAGAAGAAATATTTAAAGGAAGGGCCAGTGGGCTCTTCTGATGGATTGGATGTGGGGCCTGAGAGGAAGATGGCATAGTGTGGTGCCATCTGCTGAGAAAGCAGATGCTGGGAGAGGAGTGGGTTCTGTAGGGCGGGGAGCAAAGTTTTCTCTTGTTCGAGGTGCCAACTGACATCCAAAGGAAGATGTAAAGTAGGCAGTTGGATATGAGTCTGGCATTCGGGGGAATGGTTGATGCTAGACATTTAATTTTGGGAGTTAATAGGATATAGAGAGATTTAAAGCCCTGAGACAGAATGAAGTCACCTGGTAAGTGAGTGTAAATGGATCCTCCCCCTAGTGTTTAACATGCTCCTGTGATCCTGTTTCAGATCAGATTCAAGTTCAGTTTGGGGGAAAAATACTTCATGGATAGTGTTATGGACTTACTATAATAGTCCATCAGGAAGCACTATGGTTCTTTCTCTTCTTATGTATTACCACTCTGGTCCATTTATTATAAAACTTCATCCCCATCAGGTTATGAATTAGTTGGTGTTAGCAACCATTGTTGATCATTTCCTGAATCCATTATTTCAATAGGGATGGCAAAATGGTGTTACTGAAAGTCTTTCCTTCCTTCTTAATTAGCTGAAACTCTTCAGTAAAAAGATCTTTACCTCATCAACTCTTTGGTTAACCCGAGGTACAGTTTGTACAGGAAAGGTAGGATAAATGCTTGGAGTTTTCTAAGATTGACCAGAGAGAGCTTTTTCATGGTGATTCTTGAGTTTTTTCAATAAGACCCTAGAAGGCTTTGATAGCTTCCTTGTTTTCTGGTATGACAGGATGTTCCAGGTTCATCTTATCTATTTCCTGCTCCAGACTTGAATTAGCCATTTCTCTAAGGGTCCTGCAACCCTCACTCTTTACCAGTGTGTGATATGGAGTAGTTTTAGAATGTTTTTTGGATCCTGTGGTCTTATGGTGATCTTTTTTTCTCAGAATATATTTCTGTTCTTGTGTGTACTGGTATAACAAAATAGAATGAACATACTTTTAAAATGCCACATTTTAATTTATATATTTTTTTAAATGTGTACATTTTAGAGAGGGTAGGGGGAAGGGCAGAAGGAAAGGGAGAGAGACAATCTTAGAATCGTGGAGCCCGATGCGGGGCTTGATCTCATGATCTGAGCTGACATCAGGAGTCAGATGCTCAACCAACTGAGCCACCCAGGCGCTCCAATTTATATTTGAATTACACAGTTTTGAATGACTTGATTAATTCATTAAGTCCTGCTTCCTTACCACATTTTTTAATTTAGTAACTCACAGGTGAATTTCGTGCCCAAAATACTACTTCTTGAATATAGCTAATCTAAACCATGGAGATTATCATAAAGTCAGAACTGGGCTGGTTTTAAAATGTGCTATACAATCAGGCTTGACATACTTTGGTTATTGCTCTCCCCTGCTCTCCTCTTCCCATTGACTTTTATTTTTTTTTTTTTTTTTTTTTTTTTTATCTTTTTTTTTTTTTAAGATTTTATTTATTTATTTGAGAGAAAGAATGAGAGATAGAGAGCACGAGAGGGAAGAGGGTCAGAGGGAGAAGCAGACTCCCTGCTGAGCAGGGAGCCTGATGTGGGACTCGATCCCGGGACTCCAGGATCATGACCCGAGCCGAAGGCAGCTGCTTAACCAACTGAGCCACCCAGGCGCCCTCCCATTGACTTTTATTTGAACTTTTTATTTGGGAGCCATAGCATAATTCTTAATAAGTAGCAGAATCATGGTGATTACAGAATTCTTGTTGTATTTTACACACACATATACATGCATATGGAGAAAGACTACTTTTCACTGTAGGGTAGTTAAGCATTCAAATTTGATAATGTCAGAATTCTGATTCCCCTTGTAAGATTTTCTCCATGGCCTGTGGGAACCAAATCCTTTGTGAAACCATTAGTGGCAGAGATAAATACATAATGGAAACTAACAGCATGGACCCTTTGCTTAACATCTTTACAGAAGACTGCATGTTACCTGCAAGTCTAACTCTAACACACCAGGCATTCTCCTTCACCCTAGTCCCTCTTCTCTCTGAGAGAAATTGTGTGTGGGAATGATGGAGAAAAAAACAACAGAGCAGTGATCCTGTCATAACCACCATGCTTTAGACACAAAGGGTGTACATATACCTCCTGCCTGTGCTTTGGGCTATTTTTTTTAAAGATTTTATTTATTTATTTGAGAGAGAGCACAAGCGGGGGGAGGGACAGAGGGAGAGGGGCGAGCAGACTCTCCACTGAGTGAGGTGCCCGATGCTGGGCTCGATTCCAGGGCCCTGAGATCAAGACCTGAGCCAAAGTCAGACACTTAACTGACTGAACCACCACCCAGGTGCCCCATGCTTTGGGTTATTTTGACAACACCCAGGGTGTGTTCAGTTTTTGAGGACGGTCAGGGCAGATCTTCCTAAATGCTACTGAATTTGCCAGGCACGTTTAAGAACATTATGACTAGGTTTGCTGATTTGAGTGATGTCAGATTCTTTATCTTCTCTAACTTGTCAGTGAATTCTCTATTTTTTGAGTGATCTCCTTTGGGTCAGGCATGAAAACAAACTGGACTTATGTGACAGGGCAGAAATGCACAGAAGAGAGCTGGGTTTTATGACTGTATATTAATTTAAAGACCAACTGTGGCTTCCCTCTTCCCTGAGGGAATCTTTTTTGGAGATTTCTGGCCTAGCCAGTTGAATTTTTTTTCTTTTACTATCAAACAAAGGAACCTTCAAAGTTCTTATAATGAAAGAATGAACAGATGAATGAGTGAATGTGACAAGAGTCAAAACATGGCAAGAGTTGAAAGAAAATTTCATTATATATATTCAGAAATTGGGAATCAGGTTTTCAAAAAAATATTATTAAAAGGCACAATTTTACTCTGAAAAATTAACTACTGTTTACAGGTTTTTGTTTCCACGTTTTCATGAAGTCATTTTTTTTAAAAAACTTGGGAATATATTCTTAGAATCTTTAGAATACCTTTGTAATATTTTACTTTGATTTTCTGGGGGAATATAATATTCATTGTCTGGGGATGGCTTTGTTAATTGGAATCTGTGCCGTGAAAATGTTTTGGGAAAGATTTCTTTCGGTAATTTTTTTCTGCCTTGTGTAAGATAAAGATCCCTTATTAAAGGATCTTTGTGTGGTCTAATTCAAATGGTAATCTGGCTTGTTGAAGGCGAACATCTATTTTGAAACTTCAAGGTTAAACTCAGAAAAATGTTAGACCTCTCAAGATTAAGCACATAGAGAAACTGCTACAGAAATCCATAGAAATCAAATGTCATAGAAATCGGACTACTGACATATGACTGTTATGTGACAGACTCATTAAGTGGATTAGTATGTATGCTCTTCTCTTGTTTGCTTTACTTTTTTTTAATTGAAAATATTTGTCATATTATATAATGCTCCATTCTTAGTGCTAGTATAAATATCCATCAGTTGTGTGCTTTCTATACTGATTTCAAGCCTCAAACTGGAGAATTAAGGGCTTTAATTTTTTATAAGAACATTTATAAACTCTTATTTACATTTAATTTTGTTTTTTCTGTCTCATCATTTCCTGTGGCTTCATATGGAATGCAGTAACATACTATGCTGAGTTCTTTTATCCCCTCTGAACATACTCACTGATCTATGTGATGTACCCTTAATGAAGCAGCTTGTACCTGTGGTATTCAGGGCCTCTGGGGGAGAGCGGATGAAGAGGTACATCAGAAAAATGGGGAGTAGATATGGCATTCATCTTGGGCATCTTGAAGAGCTGAGGGCCACCCTGGTACTGCTGGATTGATCGTCTCCATAAGGTAGTTTATGCAGCTGGAAAATAAATCCTCTTTTTCAAGCTACATGGTGAGCGATTGTTGCTGTGAGCTTCTGAATGTGCATTTTTCCCTTAGGAAAGAAAAATGAAAAAAGAAAAATCTGTTATTTCCCATTCTTCCCTCCAGTGATTTAGCAGAACTTTTCTATTTTCTTCAGGTAATTAAACCAGAGAGCAATGACAAAGAAACAGAAGGTGCCTATGAATTAGATCTCCCTGAGGAGCTCTGTGGAAGCCATCTCCCGCAGCAGTCCGTGAAAGGCTACGGTGACAGTCCTGATGTCATTATAGAGGCTCAGTTTGATGACAGCGACTCAGAAGATGGACATGGCAACACACAGAATGTTCTGGTTGATGGTGTCAAGAAACTCTCAGTTTGTGTTCATGACAAAGGTGAGTGCTGGATTGCTGTCTGACATTTTATTTTACTAACCTGATTGGTTTAAGAATTGGGATTTTCTCTGTGCTACAGACTTAATCGCACAGTGCAATTGGGACCTTCCCAATTTCTAACCAGTGGCAGCTCTTAGGAAGGGGGGATCTTTGACCACTTCTGGCTGCTGGCTGTGAGGAGGGGTGGGGGATGCTGCTGTGGCCAGTGGATGCTCTTGTCCGTCTCTAATAGGTCTTGAGTTGTGTTGATAGCTAACCTTGAAGTTTCCTGTGATGAGTCCAGTCCACCCCTGCAGCTGATGGGAACAGAATTAAACTGATCTTTCAAATCCACAAAAGCACTTCACTTTACCCTCAATTTTGCTTTAACTCAGTACATTTTAAAAGTATTTTTCATCATTGGTGGTGGGAATGGATCACCTTAAATTTGATAAGTAGATTAACTTTACAAAGTGTTTCAATTCTAAACCTTGAGGGGAAAGAAGCCAGTCTTACTGTCTGTGATCAAAATCTAAGCTATGTGTCCTCTGGATGCAGAAGAAAGCAGGTCCAAAGACATGGGCAAGGAGCTACTGCCAAGGGCCCTAGCTGACCACACGCAGGGAAACCAAAGGGAAAGTAGCAGTGAAAATTGGAATATTTTCATGTATAGATTGCTAAGAAGTTTTAAGTGCAGGGGGTGTATTTTCCAACCAAATTGAGTTTTATCTATACTCTGACATGGAAACAATTGACCTAGCTAGGCCAACTAGGTTATGGGATTTTTTTAATCAGGAAGAAGTTTCTGGTACTGTCCCCTTGAAAGACTAGAAGAAATGCCAGAAGATGACTAAAAGAGGCTGTTCTGTGGACACACTGGGCTAGGGTCTGATGAGCATGCCTTCACTGACATCCTGAAGTAAGCTGGAGGTGATTTCAGGAAGTGACCGCAAACGGATCACCTTGTCTCTTCACTGCTGATGAGGTAGTGACCTCGGGTGGCGAGCATGTTCTGTAAACGTGTCACTTTTTTGTGCCAAGCACTACTCATTCAGAAGGAATTTCCAAGTGTGAGATTCTTTTTGAATGGAGAGACTACTGCTTCGTCAGTGGCCTACCAGGTATGCTGACCTGAGGTACCCAGGTTCCTTTTGTTTTGTGGCCTGCTTAGTTAACTAGTGATTTCACTGTTCCAGACCCGGCCAATATCAGTTGGATGTTATTCCTTGAGATTTCATTCTTCTGATGTTTTCTCTTTCTTCCTTTAAAAACAGTTGGATACTGTGACCCTCTTCTGAGAGTGCATTTATATTATCATGGCGTCAGTACTGGGAGTCATTGTCTTCTCTGTGAAAAGAGAGGGAAAGAACCAGGACCCTATGTAGCCAAATCCTCCACCAACAAGATCACCAGGGAGATACTTGCAGGACAAAGCCAGGCAAAGGAGCACTTTAAAACTTACTTATTATTTGGCCCAAAACTACTTCATGGAAGCCTAGCTCTGGTGTTTGGACTTGGCAGACCTCAGGAGCCACTGTTCCCCTGGGCTCCCAAGTCGAAGGGATAAGATGCCCTGATTTCTTATTAGTGATTGGTACCAATACAAGGGCAAGGAAATATTGATGGATGGGAGTGATGACAGAATTGATGCCAGAGTGGATACTGATAATCTACTTTGCTCTTTGGGAAATTCTGTTGGCAGACCTGCTCTTGATTTGTCCTCTGTTGTAATTCCCCTCCTTGTCTCTTACAAGTAAATATCATTGAGTCCTTTACATGTCCACTGTATGCATGTTTTTTCCTTACCTTTTTTATGGTCTTCCTATCTTACTGTTGTTTATATTCCTTCCTTACTAGGCCTGAGGAACAGCCTTAGTCCTTCCCTCAGTATGTGGTACAAATTTCCCTTTCCTGCCAGCCTCTAAATAGAGAGTTTGTGAAACCACATGGCTGTTTCTCATTTCTTGCCTTCTTGATATTTAGGAAAATTGCAATTTGCCCTTTTAAAAATCACAGTGTTTTCAGGATATTTCAACCTGCTTCTCGTCTCTGGGTGATATAAAATCTGGTTATAGTTAGGATGTTGGTACTTTTTGCACCATTTAAGGTTTTGAAATTTGTTATTGAAACAAACCATAACCTTAAGAACATCATAAACTTTTCCTAAGACTTCTAGAAAGATTCATTGCTTTGTGTCATAATTGCAAATAGTTATTAATCCTAGTGGTGTTCCACTAGGATTTCATACTGGTGTTCCAAAGAGTGTTTTTTATTTGTTTATTTTTGCTTTAATATCATGTTTTACCTAAAGCAAACATTACCTATTGCATGTGTACGCATTATATATCCCTGTTTGCCCAGGAAACATTCCTGTTTTTACCATAACTACGTTCCTCTGGTAAGTGAGCAGATAACCCCAGGGTCTGCAACCAGTGCCTGTTGTTGCATGAAGAGAAAAGTTTCTCTGGGCACCTCAGACCTACCCAGTAGTTTCTTCTAGGAAGACAGCATGCGTCTGCATCCTCCTCAGCCCCTGAGAGAGAGCGGGCCAAAGACCTGGGCCCCTTTTGTAGGTCCAGCCCTACAGGTTCCTGAGGCTGAGCTTTTACCACGGTCCGGGGAGCAATGTTGTCATCAGCACAGAAATCTGCCATCTGGGTAGAGACTGGGGACAACCCAAGTAAATTTTCTTTGGTATCAGATATTTGGGTACTGGTTGCCTATTGGCAAACTCCAAAGGCTAAAAATCATGATGGCGAAGTGATATTGTATGTAGTTCTGCCTCTTTCATCATCAGGAATTTTAAGAGCAGTTTTGGCCTCTGAATCTTGGGGATCATGACCTCTTCAGGTTGTGATGTATGTTTCCTGTTCTCTCTCCTAGCTGGGTCTGCCAGAGATCTTGTTCAGTTTTCTGGTCTGGAGACAAGCCTCTACTAGTACCCTGATGACTGTGGAGTTGGTGACCCTTTCTCTTCTCCCTTCTGTCTCCTGGCCACCTCTGGCTCTTTTCTGAAGGAAGAATCTGCATGAAATCTAACTACTTCTTTTGGGGCCTGCCCAAGTCAGCTTCAGGATCAGCATGAGACTTTTTTTCTCACTTAAGGTTCATCTCCTTCCATGACAGGCCTGCTCAGTGCCTGTGTTTAGATTCTCTTCCCTTGAATGAAAAGTGACTGTATTTCCCTTTGGCTAAGAAAAGCAGACCCATATGATCATTCTTTTGTGATACTTCTAGGTTATTTAAATCCCAAGAACCCTTTCTCCTGACCATTCTTTCTTGGAGCTAAATTTCTTCTGTTTCCAGATTCTGGGATCAGATCTTCCCTAAATGATCATTAGTACAACTAGAAGACAGTTATGTTTGCTTCAGAAGTTATATTAAACATTAAATATATAGTAATTTCCTTCCAGAAATGTTTTGAAATCTCATTTAAAAAAAGGTAAAGCCACTCAATTCCCACCCTGGAATCTCATCATTTATAAAACAACATGCTCAAATGTCAGCGACAGGAAAGTTGGGAAACCTGAAAACACATCAACAAATGAATTCAGATGCCAACAGAACACAGTGCTTTACAGCTAATAGCTTGTTTTTCATAGTTCCTGATATTTTCAGAAAAATCGAAATAAATTTGTTCCCTAAAAAAAAAAAGGTAAAGCCATGTCCAGACCTGTGTGAGAAGGGTGCCGTGGAATTTTGGTTTTCCCTGTCTTTTTAGACTAAGTGGCCAATGCAGTCATATCAGGTGTGATTCAGGTAGAGGTATTTGGTCAGGACCTACAGTGTCTAAGGCCCAAAGCCTGTGCTAGACTGGCCATTTCTCCCTGTGAAGTCCCCCAAAGAAATACATGCACAAAGGACAAAGCAAGGCAGAGGAGCAGTTCTTTATTAACTGGGGCTTTGACCCAAAAGCCAGAATGATGATGCCAGTCTAGCGTCCACTAACAAGTCTGAGGCTTCTTACATCTTCTCATTCTTGCCAACAGTTAGAATTATCCAGCTTTCTCTTTTTGTAGTCTAGATTAAGTTCTATAAATTGCCTTTTCATAGCATTTGCCCAGTGTTCTGTCAGGGTTACTGTTCTCTTGTTGATTTGCAGGAATTTCTTATCTATTCTCTACAATAATCCCATTTCCATTTTAGGCATTGTAAGTATCTTCTCCCATTCTGGCAGTCATTTTAACACTAACGTTGTCTGTGGTGTCTTTTATTGAACAAAGGGTCTTAATTTTAATGTGATAAAATTAGTCATATACTTTATGGGTTTATAAGTTTTTCCCTATTCTTAGTTCAAATAGGTATTCTCCCATGTAATCTTTTGTTAATGCTACAGTTTTGCCTTTTGCTTAACTTTATAATGCGTATTCTTTATTGATTGAGATTATTATCTGGCTTTTCTCTAAATCTATTTCTGATGTTGAACCATCCTAAAAATTCAAGGATAGCCTTGAATTTTTAGGATAAATCTTTAGGACTTATCCTAGGATATTTATCCTAGGATAAATCTCAAGGATAGTTTTTTTTTTTTTTAAGATTTATTTATTTATTTTAGGGAGAGCAAGAGAGTGCACAGTGGGAGGAGGGACAGAGAGAGAGAGAATCTCAAGCAGGCACTGTGCTCACATGGAGCCCAACGTGGGGCTCAATACCACAAACCTGGGATTATGACCTGGGCCAAAACCAAGAGTAAGACGCTCAACTGACTGAGCCATCCAGGCGTCTCTATCCTTGAATTCTTTTTTTTTTTTTTTAAGATTTTATTTATTCATTTGACAGAGAGAGAGAGCACAGGCAGGGGGAGTGGCAGGCAGAGGGAGAGGGAGAAGCAGGCTCCCTGAGAGCAGGGAGCCCTATGTGGGGCTCAACCCCAGGACCCTGGGATCATGACCTGAGCCGAAGGCAGACTGTCGGCCGACTGAGCCAGCCAGGCACCCCCGCCCCCATCCTTGAATTCTTGAGATAGCCTTGAATTCTTAGGATAAATTCTATTAATCCCGATGTATTATTATTATTATTAT